TTGCTCAGTGTCGTTCGATGTCCATCAGTTTGTCCGTCTGTCTTTCTACCTGTCTATATGTATATGTAGATCCACCAATCTCTTTGCTGTCGGTCTTTCTGTCCGTTTGTCCATTTGAGTGATAACTGTTCGCATGGTCTGCCTGTCTATCTTTCTCTTTATTTCTACAGGTCTGTTCTTCTGTTGTTCGTTCTCCCATTCGTCCTGCCGCCTAACCTTTTTTCCTATCCTTCCGCCTAGCCTTCCGTCCGTCTTTGTGTTTATCAGAACTTCTTACTGTTATTCTCTTTCTCTCTCTTTCTCTCCCTTAGAGGTCTCTCTCTCTCCTTCTCAGCCACTCTGTCTGTCTCTCTCTGTCTTTCTATCCCTTTCTTTCTTTACCAGTCTCTCACTATCTATCTAACTGTCTTCCTTTCTTTCTTTCTTTTCAGTTATTTACTCTCTCAGCCTATCCCTCATGCTTTCGTAGTAGCTTTAAGGGTATCGTCTAGTCGAGCATGCCTAACTATTTCGCTCTGCTTCTTATTGAGTAATTGACTTTAATAAAACTATTCGAAATGCATATTATTTTCTTTATCTTCTGGACACTGTCCATTCGGCATTGTTCAACACTAAGACTTCCATAGTAGATAGAGCTCGCTCTCTAAATATCTAATATATATACACCATATGTGCAGGAGTTCTTTCTTGTATTGTTCGCTATTTTAATAGCTATGATATAAGCTGCCTCGGGCATAAGCTACGATCTATTTGAAATGCACCACAAAACAATTCACAATAGTTTCGATGAGTGTTTTACCCCCTCCCCGGGAATGGAAATGTAAATGGAGCAGACATTGTAAGCCCATTTTTTGTTGTTTTTCTCCGAAAGCATTTGGCTCGTGGCAATGCAGCCAGTGGAGCTACAGGGCAGCTGCTGTTGCACATGCACACATGGGAGAAAGACAAGCTAACAGTCAAGAAGAGCTAGAAGGAGAAGCAGATCTAGTAGCAGAAGCAGTCGGAGTTGGGAGCTGTTAGGCAGCGACTCAGAACATTAATCTTCAGACTTTGCTCGAAATTAAAAATAATAAAGCACTAAATAGAAAATGAAGCGAGGATTGGTTGAAAGAGGGGGGACTCACTCTCTCTCTCTCTCTCCCGCTCTTGCTGTGCACAGAGAGAGAGAGGGAGAGAGAGGGATGGGTAGGGAGAGTTGTGAAGTCAAAAACGGGGCTTACTCTTAATTGAGCATCGTGAACGCAAATGCAGCAATTCGTTGTGCTTCGCCGGCTGCGGCAAAGTCGAGTGGCACAAGCTGGGGACGGGGCAGGGGCAGTGGCAGGGACTGGGGCAAAGGCATGGAGTGTGCTTGTAGTGGGCCTTGGTTAAAATTCTTAGCCAAAAGATGTTGCGTGCGCAGTTCACTTGATTTCCTGGGTGGGTGTCGATGGGCGCACTTGGTGGACTGCAGACAACCACAGTGGCCAACCACTGACCACTGACCACTGAGCGGCACCACCAGTACCAGCACCAGCACCAGCACCACCATCGACAGTATACCAAGCGTAACAATTGGGCGGTGGCACCACCAGCCCATCAACAGTGACCGCCCCTGCCCCCCCCAGTCACTTGACTGTTACCAAGACGTTTCCTCATTGTCTAATTAAATGGATCTGCAGTCATAGACACAGTTTGATTAGTTAACTGTTAACTGGGCACTCAGTGTGCCTAACCTCAACCTCAGCGGCCGACAACAGGTGGCGCCACGCACTAGAATCCGCCTAGAACTGCATGCAAATTTATTCCATTGTTTGATTCAATGAACAATCCTTGTTAAATGCCTAATAATCAGATTTTGAGCATAACAGAGTCAAGATAACGACGAAGAATGTGCCTCGTCTTCGTGTGTAAATGAGGTTAGCTACGACTGAAATTGAAATAATGTGATAAGTCGAGCAGTCTCTGTAAATTCTGAATGAACTTAGATATAAAGTTGTAGCTGGGAAAAGTTACAGCGCAGAATATGTGAGGTTAGAAACGATTGAAACGATATGTAATGCCATACAGCAGGAATGATGCGAGTTGATATATATGTGAAACGGATGAAGATGAAATGTGAATAGGAACATGGATAAACAATGTTTCCTAAGAGTTTGGTGGAGTTTATTGAAGTTAGGAATGATTTGAAATGAAACATTTTGTTGGAAAAGGTTATTTTAATATTCCATCGCATACCTTTTGTTTAGGTTAGGAATGCATGGATGAAATATGTGCAAACTGCTTCATTTTTCAAAAGAAACTTAAATTTGTATTTATTGGCACATGTCAGCCTTATCGCATAAAGTTCAGCATGTTGCACTACAGAGGGCGCCACTTACCAATTGAGGCTAGGATTGAATGGAACTGGGGAACTTATAGTATGGCCCACAAATCGATTGCCATGTTGCTAAAGCGAAAAAACTTAACCTTCTTCAGTATAGTTCAGCTTAATGTACAACAGGTAGCGCCACTGCGCAGAATGAGGCTGGAATCGAATGAAGAGCAGTTTTTTCTTTGTTTGCTGTTTTTTTTTCCGTCGAACTTTAACACTGAAATGGAGCAGCGACTGCGCCCAGTTCTATTGGCAGTCGGACAGCTTGATGAGTGGCTGCTGGCTAAACAAAATGTTGCAATCAACGAGGCGATTGTTGTTGTTGTTGTTGTCATCACTTGCGGCAACTTTGTCATTGTGTAGTTTTTTTTTTATGCTTGTCTCGCTGCAGCAGCAGCATTTTAAACTGGGTTAAAAGCACAAACGACACGCAAAAATGTGATGACAATTCGCCAAGCAAGCGACTCGAGAGCTCCAGGCCGAGAGCCGAGAGCCGAGAGCTGAGAGCTGAGACACATCCAAGCGGAGCAAAACTCACTTACTCAACTCAAATCATGATGTGGTTCATTCCTGTTATTAGAACAGATCCAGCAGCACAGAACAGAACAGAACAGAACAGCCCATAACATAAACACATTAGCACATTAGCTCAATCAAATGACAGATGATCTCTGAAGGGGGTATGAGTCGGCGCTTTGGCAGCACAAGAAGTTCTAGTACGTTTCAGAGTTGCTTATATGGAGTAGCCGGAGTTGTGTGTGTTCTCAATGCGTTGAAAAAGAAGCAGGTGAGGTAATTTACTGTAGCTTGCGAAGAAAGAGAAAAACGACCGTAGACACACATACATATATGCGACTTGTTTACTAAGTACCTGACAAACCTCATTGCAAATAAATCAAGCATTAGACTTGGATTTTTCTGACTTGAGAGCATATTATTTAATGGAAGGTTATGGGCAAATAAAATTTTAAAGCTAAGCATATAATTGCTACTTGCAAACTGACTGGTAAACTCCATTGCAAATAAGCTTAACAATATTTCAAATATTATAGACATTATAAGCTCTGGAAACTTTGGAAACGTAGAAGAAAGCAACAAGAAAATTTAATGTGTAGCATATCCCCCTGTAAACTGACTGGCAAACTTCATTGTAAAATAACTAATAGATTGATAATGAAATTACATCTCCTAAATAGATCCGCTGATTTTAATTGTATGTACATATACATATATGAATAAATGTGTATGCATATAAATTTTGTTTTATAGCCTTGGACTAAAAGACGAAGAAACGCTGCAGCTTGAATATAATTACACAAAACTTACATCTACATCTGCCTTGTAAGTTGTCTGGCTTAATTACAAATTATCTTGCCAATTTTTCAACCACTCGATGGTTTATACGCTTTAGCTGAGAGAAAACGAATCACTTAATTATTTAACTAAAAATAAAAAGGCAAAGGTTGTACTATGTAAACATATTAGTTAATTTTAATTTTTAATATAACTAAAATAACTACAATATTATTTTATTAACTGACAATTTATTTCCAAGCTCAAGTCCCAATCATGTATTTAGATATAAGAATATCTTATTAAAGCAATGGAGTAAAGACTCATATTCTCCTGTTCCTTGAGTTTAAAAGAAAAATGCTCTGCTGAGGCAGCGAGGTAATTAATGGAAGTGTTTCAGATCTATCTAACCTGTACTTGTCTTATATCTTAATCAGTTCGCTTAAAGTTCTAAGCAGCTGCTATTGCCACACTTGAGCCCCAAAAGGCGCTACAAATGCAAGCAACCAAAATCAGTTTATATATGGCCATGCAACATGTTTGGCAACATGTTTTGGTTTTTCGACTGCGAGGCGGGCGCATCCATATTAGCAGAGGGCGAATGGGCGAGGGGGCAGCTGGCCCACATACGACGAAAATTGTGCGTCGGTTGAAGCGGGATTTGTGGCACGATCCACTTTGTGGCATCGACGGCTGCTGCTCCAATTTGCTGACCATTTGGCATACTTAAAGCCGTTGTTGTGGCATGCAAATGCTTGTGCAACGGCATCACAGCATGCAGCATGCAGCATGCGGCATGCGGCATGCGGCGGGCAGCATCTGCTAGAGTCCAAGAATTATTTGAGCTGCAACTGCAATTTGGTGCACTTGGCGAGCCGCAGCCACAGTTGCCACAGTTGCCACAGTTGCCACAGTTGCATAACCTGTATTAGTTGTTATTACCGTTTTGTGGCATCCACGGCAACTTTCTTGGCCAGCGAATTGCCAACGATTTGCCATTGATCGATAGACCAAACGCATCGAAAGCCCTAAGCTTCGTGCTCGCAAGCTTTGCCACTTGCCAAAAAAAAAACAAAAACACACACACACACAGAGACAAGACAAGAAAAAAGCGCAGCAAGTGGCTGCGCAGCTGGCAGCGCAGCGCCTGCAGTCAGTGCGACGCTTAGAGCTCACAGCTTACAGCTTACAAGACGCACAACGCGACGGCGCAAACTTTCAGTTGCTTTCGAGCTGCACAAGACGACGGTTGGCTTTTTTTCTACCAAGCACTAGTTGCCAAACTATATAGAGAGAGCAAGCGAGCGAGCGAGAGAGTGAGAGAGTCGAGAGAGCGTAACGTGAAAAGTGAAAGAAATCGTCTTCGTCTTCGTCTTTAACTTCGGCTTCGGCTTAGCTGCGGTTGCGCGTGCGTCGCTTCGTCTTAGGCGCGTGAAAGAGAGGGAGGGAGAGCTTGAGCCGAGAGCTGCGGCGAAGTCGCTTTAAGCTCAACTTCGACTTCGAGTTCGACTTCGGCTTCGACCACGAATTCAGTTGCCGTGCAGAACGCGAAGCGAACGGAACATCGCGGCTGTTCGATCACAAATTCCATTAATTTTTTTCTTGTTTGCTCATTTTGAACACGAATTTCAATCGCGTCTAACGGTCTGACGCGCCTAACGGTACGCGCCTGGTGATCTACAAATTGTGCTCATTTAATTGCCAATTCTTTTTGTTTT